CGGGAAATTTGGATCAGGATTCCGGAATGAGAACGGTAACCGTCTTGCTGTGCTCTTATCCGCGGTACGACTTTTCCATGGCGACTCCATTTTCAAGAAAGGACACCGGCGGTGGATATGAGAGTCACCCAACGGTACACTCATGCGGGGATCGACCACATTCTCACCAACCGAAGGTGGTGCTTACTCGACGTCCCAGTGGTACCATCCTTCAGTAGTGGCTCAGATCACCGCCTCCTTCAAGCAAAAGCGCGATTCAGAAAAAAAGCTGGAAAAAAAGATCTGCCACCGTGTTGGAGGAAGGAGAGAAGTCCTATATGACGGCGTCAGATTGGAGGAGCTCCTGACCACTTGTGACTGGCCCATCGAGGAGGATCCGATAATAGAGAACGGCCTGCATCTTAGAGGACTGAGAGCCTGTGATGAAAGTGCCTCTATGCCTCCCACAAGCAACTTGGAACGAAGAAGAGCACTGAGGCTGGATCCTACTGCATCACATCTCGAGCGACTGGTAGCCAAAACCAATTGCAGAACTGCTTTGCAAGAAGATCTTCGAAAGTACAGGCAATCGAAAATTTTGGAAGCAGCACGAGGTAGGAGAAGTCTAAAACCACAGGGACCTTCTCGCTATCGTCTTCCGCTGGCAACATTACTACACGAAGACGGGACTCCCACATCTTCACGACAAAAGATGGAATCGATCACGAAGAGATTTTACACCAACCTCTTTCGCTCGTCAACACCAGTGTCAAACCCTGCTGAAGTACGCGCCGCAATCCAGACCATGGAGGCTTCGGGATCGGACCATGTTTCGGTCGGCCTCTTACGAGCTGGAGGACATCGCCTACACGAGATACTTGTGGAACATCTAACGTCCTACCTTCAAAAGGAAAGGATCCACGACCAGTGGAGAACCTCCCGAACAATCCTTCTTAGAAGGGCGCTAGGGAGAATCTTCGGGACTACCGTCCAATATGCCTGCTGAGCCTGCTTTACGCTCTTTATGAAGATTATTCTCGAACGCATATCAAGGACACTGGATGAAGCCCAAGCTATAGAACAA